ACAAACACTAATACACTTTATTATTGCATCCACCACAACAACCTTTTCCTCGACATTGGATACTAAATTAAGATAATTCCAACACAAAATATTAAACAGAATCTTATACGCAAACAAGATGCTGTTTGGAAAAGTAGATTATCCCTTATCCGATTTTTGTGAAAAAGAGTTGGAGAGCACAGAACATCTCTCTTTCTAACGTACAAAATTGTGTATGTTTTAGGACGATTTAAAGGTTGTACTTAATATAACTGTTGGGATTTTAGATAAGATTATATAAGCATTCTAGTCAACTACATCCTTGAAAGTAAATATTTTATTTACCGTTGTAAGTTAAATAAGGGCTCTTTATGTTTAAGACTGTTAGTCAATAAATTTAAAAATCGTTTCAAACCGAACGTTTTATCCCGAAAAAAAAAATAACAAAACCATTTCCACGTTAAAAATGGAAACCTTTACTCCCATTAATACAACAGTAGCTGTTATTCGAACCTCGTTTTTCTAAGATTCCCTTAAATACTCTTTATTTTAATTGAGTTGAATAAGTTATGTAATCCTTGTAGTGTAGTGCAGTATAGGTAAGGTAAGGTAATTGTTGTAAATTTTGTAATTTTAATTTGTACGTATCGATCTGTATGTTCTTGTACTATACTTGTAAAAGAAAAAAATGAAGTACAAATAGAAAAAAGAATAACTACGGTCACGCTTGCTTTCTTGGACTTTTTTAGTTTCCCGATCTAAATAGAGAAAAGTTTGACGAGCTTAGGAGAACTTTTGGATGGGGTTAATGTGACCGCGGTAACAACGACAAAGCGCCATATCTTATACAAGTATCTACCCCAAAACGTGCTGATAAACCAGCATGATTAAAAAAAATGAAAAAAGAATAAAAAATATATAGCCTTCAGAAAATTACACTTGCAAAAAGGAAACCTGGTCAGTCTAATAAATCTGGCCCAGTTGTTGAAAGGTGGATAATGCTATCATGGTTAACCTGGTAAATCACTATCTAGTGACTGATAAACGTTGAAGATAAGTCGTATTTCTAATGATCATTGATAACAGTAATATTAGGGAACTTCAGATTGGACTACAAGTACGAGATAAGTTAAGAGCACTATTTTCGAATTTCAAACAGTGACGTCGCAGAGCCCTCGCTCTTCATGCTGGGTCTGTTGGTTTTGGCTGGAGAGGGTAGTTCATAGAATGAGGTGGGTATCTGTGCTAATATGGGGCCTGCAAACTGGAATAAACTTTATCACGGTTTTCGACGCCATATTGACGGGTTGGCAAAGCGGTCAGAAATTACAGTAATTGTATGGGAATCCGAGGACAAATAACTTTTTTCCAAAATTGAATTTTACACAATTTGTGAATCGCAACGTTAAAATACTACGTAGAAGAATGTATTCACCAAGTTTGGAGGATGTAGCTTGGCCAGAGGACGCTCAGTGAATTTTTCTAATTTTCCACGCATTTGCACGGTCTGTAAAATTTGGCTGGGTAGACGGACGTCTAGACGCGGGTCGGGGAAAAAAATTGCAAACAAATGCATGGAAAATTAAAAAAACGAAAGACTTTTATTAATCCTTCATTTCCTTACATCGATCTTGCTCGCACTGCCTAAACCTTTGGTTATTTCTAGCAATATGATTATTCCTGCAGCAAAGCATGCATTTTTTTACTGGGTTTATATTTCACAATAACGGAGAACACCAGACACGTTGCTTCTTTGTCCACTGTCTGAATTCACTATGTTAAAGCTCTTCTTTTCTTTTCTTTTCCTTCTTCTACATCGATCTTGCCCGCACAGCCTAAACCTTTGGTTATTTCTAGCAATATGCCTGCTAATGTTATTTCCAGTGCATCCTTGTCATAACGCTTGTGAGCTCAACCCCAAACCTGTTGCTGCTAGTTCGCCCAGGACTGTTCGTTACATCAACACCTTTGCCCTCGATCTGCTTTTTTTGTTTCTCATTCCAGAAAGCTATATAATTGTATTTCAATTATTTTTCGATGCTTGTTCCTTCAGATTGTAACACAGATCTTTCTCCATCAGTTCTAATTTTATAGGCTTTTAATTGTGACGAGTGAATAATTGTGTGCTGGTACAAACAAGGCACGGTTTCTGGTCATTTGCCACCCGTACACTAATAATTTTAAACAGAATCTGTTTTTCTGTGCGGCCTATCATATCTACTTTAAACTTTGTGAAGTGTTTCCCATTACACACATATATGTATTTTGTATGGAAATGTCTAGCGAAACAAGTTTTGAATATACATTGTAATTATTTTATGTATCAGTAATGAATATTCGTTATGGAACGCTTCGTATACTGATCGTATACCCTGTACCTATAGTGTAGAATCCTAACCCCTTGTGTATGCATTATGTTCAGTATCGTAAGAAATAAAATCCATGCTTTGTAACGCTTGAAGCTGTTAAGCTGCTGTAGCCCCAAAATATAAACTTGTATCACTTGTAATGCGGAACACCTCGTAGGATGATGTTTTTGGGGCGAATCCGGTTGCTGCGGTAGGTAAAGTTTTACCATCTATTTAGGGTCGCCGGATTATTCCTGCAGCAAAGCATGCATTTTTTTTTACTGGGTTTATATTTCACAATAACGGAGAACACCAGACACGTTGCTTCTTTGTCCACTGTCTGAATTCACTATGTTAAAGCTTTTCTTTCGATTTTAATTCTCGAGTTATGGCTCACGGAGTTCTTTCCAATGGTGAATAATTAAATATATTGCTTGACAAAGCAAAACAGAATTCTTACCTTTGAATTACAAGCCACACATACGTTTGACATATTCTCGGCTTAGAATTCGCTTCCTTGTAGGGCAAATTCGACGCAAGAATCAAGCGAAGTCGATGTAGATTTAATTTCCCCGCAGAAGCTTGAATTTTTGTTGTTTTGCCTTATTCTTAGACCACGCATCGATAATGGCGACTGAGAATTGTTTTGAACGCCATCTGTCTTGGTGTGACGTCACACACGATGTGAAGTTTTGTTTGTTAGCCGCATCCTGTGAGATAGCTCCCTTGATATAAGTCTGTCAAGTCATTATTTTTCAGTATTATTATATTTTTTAGCGACATATACTGCTATAAAGAACATACAAAAGTTCTAGAAAATTTGGTGTCGTGAATCACTACAGTTTCATTGTTGCACGAAAGCGAACGTTTGAAGGGATTCTTATATGGATATATATCCATATTATATCCTTATTTTGTCTTGTATCATTTCATTTTTCGTTTTGCTTAGTAAAATACCGAGCAACCTATTACGCTGCTTAGTTTGCTCTGACCGGAACAGATAAAAAGATTGTTCTCAACAAATCAACTGATTCAAGAGATTTCAATGTTTAATCAATGGTTGTTCCTCCTTGCAAGGACAAGTCAGCTCAACTGTTCCCCATTTGACATGTACGTATGCAAATTAGGTTTGTCCGGCAATTAGTCCAATAAAACGATATCGCGACGAATTCTAATTGCAGGAACATTTTAACTGACTTATAGTGTATTATGAATGATACAACCTCATTCGTGACTTATAAGGACGGTCTACGATCTTAAGATTATGCATCAGTCAATTCCAGCAGTGCCCATCCCCCCCCCCCCCCG